GGCATGGTGGCGGGTTCCTATAATCCCAGTTACTTGGGAGGCTGAGGCAGGAGAATCACTTGAACCCAAGAGGTGGAGGTTGCAGTGAGCAGAGATTGTGCCACTGAACTCAGCCTGGGTGACAGAGTGAGGCTCCACCTCAAATAAACAAAAATTAAAATGGTATACTTGGATGGGGCACTTACAGGACTGGATGTTGTTCTGGGTGGGTAGATGGGGAGTGAGTGGGCGGGGACTATGAAGGTTTAGGACATCATGGTATTGGAGACTTATAAACACTGCACACTTTGGCTAAACTAAATTTATAAAAAATAATTTTCATTTATTAAAGAGCTAACTGTAACTTCGTACTTTAACTTTTTGACTTTTTTGTAATACTTAAACTACAAATATATATCTGTACAAAAATATTTTCCTTCTCTATATCCTTATTCTTTAAGCTTTTTTCTTTTAACAATTTTAAAAAAATTATTGAGACAGAGTCTCGCTCTGTAGTGCAGTGGTCCAATCCTGGCTCACTGCAACCTCCGCCTCCTGCGTTCAAGCAATTCTTGTGCCTCAGCCTCCCAAGTGGCTGGAATTACAGGTGTTCCCCCAAAAGCCTGGTGAATTTTTTGTATTTTTAGTAGAGACGGGATTTCACCACGTTGGCCAGGCTGGTCTTGAACTCCTGGCCTCAAGTGATCCATCCTCCTTGGCCTCCCAAAGTGCTGGGATTATAGGTGTGAGCCACCGTACTTGGACAATTTTCTTTCTTTTTTTTTTTTTTTTTTTACTTTTAAACCTTTTTTGGTTAAAAACCAAGACACAAACACACACATTAGCCAAGACCTACCCAGGGTCAGCATCTCACTGTCTTCCATCTCCATGTCTTGTTTCACTAAAGGTCTTCAGGGACAATAACACGCATGGAGCTGTCGTCTCTTGATAGCAATGCCTTCTTCTGGAATTCCTCCTAAAGGACCTGCCTGAGGCTGCCTTACAGATAACTTGGTCTTTATAAGCAGGAGTGCACTCCAAAATAATGAGAGCTGGGTGCCATGGTTTGTACCTATAATCTCAGCATTTTGGCAGGCTGAGGCAGGAGGATTGCTTGAGCCCAGGAGTTCAAGACCAGCCTGGGCAACATGGTGAGATCTCATCTCTACAAAACAATTAAAAAATTAGCTGGGCATGGTGGCACATGCCTTTTGGTACCAGCTACGTGGGAGGCTGAGAGAGGAGGATTGCTTGAGACGAGGGCTTGAGGCTGCAGTGAGCCATGATCACACCATTGCACTCCAGCCTGAGCAACAGCCTATCTGTAAAATATAAAATAACATGATAAAAAGTAAATACAGCCGGGCGCGGTGGCTCAAGCCTGTAATCCCAGCACTTTGGGAGGCCGAGGCGGGTGGATCACGAGGTCGAGAGATCGAGACCATCCCGGTCAACATGGTGAAACCCCGTCTCTACTAAAAATACGAAAAATTAGCTGGGCATGGTGGCACGTGCCTGTAATCCCAGCTACTCAGGAGGCTGAGGCAGGAGAATTGCCTGAACCCAGGAGGCGGAGGTTGCGGTGAGCCGAGATCGTGCCATTGCACTCCAGCCTGGGTAACAAGAGTGAAACTCCGTCTCAAAAAAAAAAAAAAAAAAAAGTAAATACAGGCCGGGCTTGATAGCTCATGCCTATAATCCCAGCACTTTGGGAGGCCGAGGCAGGTGGATCACCCGAGGTCAGGAGTTCAAGACCAGCCTGGCCAATGTGAAACCCAGTCTCTACTAAAAATACAAAAAATGAGCTGGGCGGGGTGGCATGCACCTGTAGTCTCTGCTACTTGGGAAGCTGAGGCAGAATAGCTTGAACCTGGGAGTCGGAGGTTGTAGTGAACTGAGAGTGTGCCACTGCACTCCAGCCTGGGCAAATGAGACTCCATCTCAAAAAAAAAAAAAAAGTAAATACCTAAGCCAGTAACCAAGTCATTAACAATCATCAGGTATTATGCACTGTACATAATTGTGTGGGCTATACTTGTACACGGCTGGCAGCACAGTGTGCTTACACCAGCATCACCACAAACACGTGAGAAGTGCATGCACTGTGCTGCATTCCAACAGCTACAAGGTCACTAGGCAGTAGGAATTTTTCAGCTTCACTGTAATCTTCCGGAACCATCTTCATATATGCAGTCCGACATTGATCAAAATGCTGTTATGCAGCACACGACTATATTGCTGTAAAAGTCGATCATGAAATTTTGGGAAATACATTCCAGCAACATATTTGAAGAATAAAACACCATAACCAAGGGAGGTTTATTCCAGAACTGCATTCAATTTTAAGAAATCTCTTACTAGAATTCATTGTTGAAAGACCAAAAAAGAAAAATATGATTACTTCCAGAGATGCCGAAAAGGTATCTGATATAACTAAACTGCTCTTGGCCGGGCTCTGTGGCTCATGACTGTAATCCCAGCACTTTAGGAGGCCGAGGTAGGCAGATCATTTGAGGCCAGGAGCTGAAGACCAGCCTAGGCAACATGGGAAAACCTATCTCTACTATTAACAAAAATACAAAAAATTAGCCAGACATGGTGGCACAGGCCTGTAATCCCAACTACTCTGGAGTCTGAGGCACAAGAATCATTTGAACCTGGGAGGTGGAGGTTGCAGTGAGCCAAGATGGCGCCACTGCACTCCAGCCTGGGTGACACAGCAAGACCCTGGCTCAAAAAATAAATAGAATTAAACTGCTGTTAATTACTCCCATTCAAGTCAGGAGAAGTAAGAATATTGACTGTAATCATTAACATTGTCCTAGGGATACTAACCAATGCATTTAGAAAACAGGAAGAAATTTGTACACTCGGGCCGGGCGCGGTGGCTCAAGCCTGTAATCCCAGCACTTTGGGAGGCCGAGGCGGGTGGATCACGAGGTCAAGAGATCGAGACCATCCTGGTCAACATGGTGAAACCCCGTCTCTACTAAAAATACAAAAAATTAGCTGGGCATGGTGGCGCGTGCCTGTAATCCCAGCTACTCAGGAGGCTGAGGCAGGAGAATTGCCTGAACCCAGGAGGCGGAGGTTGCGGTGAGCCGAGATGGCGCCATTGCACTCCAGCCTGGGCAACAAGAGTGAAACTCCATCTCAAAAAAAAAAAAAAAAAAGAAAGAAATTTGTACACTGTTTGGAAGGCATGAAGTGAAATTACCCTTGTTTGCAGTTGCAATGATTATCTGGAAAACTTGAAACTATCAGAAAACAATTAGAAACAATAAGAGAATACAGTCAGGCAGTTGGGTCCAAAACTAATATTCAGAAATCATAGCATTGTACCTTAACTGCTATGTGGCATTTTTATTATGTGAACAGTGTATGTATATATCCCTAACATATTGTGACAAGCAAATCAGTTTCCTGGGTGTAAGTATGGGGTGACTGGCCGGGAAGGGGCCCACCGGAACCATGGTTAGTGTGATGACATGGGCAGTGCATTGTCAAAACTCACTGAATTGCACCCTTGCAATGCTTGCATTTTATTGTATGTAATTTAAACTTCAGTTAGGTTGATTTTAAAGTGTACTGAGAGTAGTATTTCAACATAATTGTTTTTTCCATAATTTTATGTTGATTTTATGCTTTTATCAGTGGCAATCTTTTTCATCCAAGGAGGGACAGATGAGCTTCCTTGCCACCTGCTGTTGGAGGGTGACTCTAGTCCAGCCTTCCACTGAGAGCAAACCCTTTAAGTCCTGGATTTGAACAGATCAGCCTCCCACCTTGTGCTGTTCCAAAGCCACAGCTCCTCATGCACGTAAGGCTCAAAGTAATCCAGGACTAATACTTCACCTTGTGGGGGAGCCAGAAAACCAGTGCATGGGCTTCCCTGCCTGGTTCTGTTTTCTTTTTCTCTTTTTCTAGGGATTTCTTTTCTGTGAACACAGCTGTATATTAAATTTTTTTTTTTTTTTTTTTTGAGACAGAGTCTCACTTTGTTGCCCAGACTGGAGTACAGTGGCACGATCTTGGCTCACCGCAACCTCTGCCTCCCAGGTTCAAGTGATCCTCCTGCCTTAGCCTCCTGAGTAGCTGGGACTACAAGCATGCGCCACCACGCTGGCTAATTTTTGTATTTTAGTAGAGGCAGGGTTTCACCATGTTGGTCAGGCTGGTCTCAAACTCTTGATCTCCTGATCCGCTCGCTCCGGCCTCCCAAAGTGCTGGGATTACAGGCATGAGTCACTACAACTGGCCATTGGCTCATGCACCAGGCCACTGGCTTACGCCTGTAACCCCAGCACTTTGGGAGGCCGAGGCAGTTGGATCACCTGAAGTGAAAAGTTTGAGACCAACCTGACCAACATGGAGAAACCCCATCTCCACTAAAAATACAAAAATTGGCCGGGCATGGTTGTGCATGCCTGTAATCCTACCTACTTGGGAGGCTGAGGAAGGAAAATCGCTTGAACCCGCGAGGCGGAGGTTGTGGTGAACGGAGATTGCACCATTGCACTCCAGCCTGGGCAACAAGATCCGGACTCTGTCTCAAAAACAAACAAACAAACAAACAAAAACCAATTATCTTGATGAATTCAGAAGTCCAATAGGTTTACAAATCTATTTAAAATTGTGAAATATTTAAGACACAATCAGTTTTATTTTTATGATTACTTTTTTAGCTATACCTACTGGGATGGGAGAGTTCTAAAAGTTAATTGTCTTGGATGTTGTGGTCTTTTTTTTTTTTTTTTTTTTTGAGGCGGAGTTTCGCTCTTGTTACCCAGGCTGGAGTGCAATGGCGCGATCTCGGCTCACCGCAACCTCCGCCTCCTGGGTTCAGGCAATTCTCCTGCCTCAGCCTCCTGAGTAGCTGGGATTACAGGCACGCACCACCATGCCCAGCTAACTTTTTGTATTTTTAGTAGAGACGGGGTTTCACCTTGCTGACCAGGATGGTCTTGATCTCTTGACCTCGTGATCCACCCGCCTCGGCCTCCCAAAGTGCTGGGATTACAGGCTTGAGCCACCGCGCCCGGCCGGATGTTGTGGTCTTTAACTCAGTATTTCTATTCTGCCAGTGCTGCCCTGAGCACTAGAACTGGGAGAGCAGGGAGCAAGGGCTAGAGCGGGACACAGTGTAAATGTTCTGTGAGCCAGAACGAGAACCCAGATTGGAATCAGCTGTGGTTGTTAACCCTGTCTTTTTCCTCTAGGGAGAAATTGTCATTTTAATAAAACCGAGGCTCAGAAATGCTAAACCGCCATCCCAATGTCATGAAACCAATCAGCCACAGCTGGGTGTCTTTGAGTATCGCACTTCCCTTCTCTGAAAGGTACTGAGAAGGCTAGATAAGGTTCTGTATACTCATGACCTACAGATGTGTCATTTCTCTGGGCACAGACCCTGGGAACACATGGCAGGGCTGGGGGCGGTCACACACACAGCTTCCTGCCCGCATAGGCTGTATCTCGATTGGTACCTGCCTCAGTCAAGCTACGCATTTCATATCCAGCCAGGACAGTTCCGTTTCCCTTTTTGTTGTTACGTCTCATGAGTGTGAGAAATTTCTCCCATCTAGGTCTCTCTATCTCATTCTCCCAGACGGCCCATACAAGTTACTGGTTCAAATGCACCAATAAAGATTTGTTTGGGAGGGATCTGGGTGCGTGATCTGACTTTGGAGGGAAGGCTGGCTTGCACGGGCTGGGTGAGTGCCTGCTCAGCACGAATCTGAGCTGCAGGCCGGGCTCCTGGTGCTTGGAGGTCTAGCTGGACTTAAGGGACTATACAACCCTGTCAGCCACTTGCTCTAGGCTGAAGGTCCTCACCGCACCCCAGCACAGAGACACCTCCAGGCTGGTGTGTCTGCAGCTGTGGTGGAAGAGCTGCCTGGAACCTGCCGGCATTTCTCCGAGTCCTTCCTCACTCGGACTCCTCAGCTTCTGCCTACCAAGCTGGGGTGCTTTCCTGGCTTCTCCTGCTAGGTGGCCCTGTCCTCTCTGCCTTGTCTTACCCTTGGGCATCAGCTTGCCAGGGGCAGGCCAGCCCACATGTGGGATCTCCACCCAGACCCTTTCTGTCTGCCAACCGTTTGCCAACTCTCAGGGCAGGGAAGGAAACCTCGCTGTCCCCTCCTCCAGGGGCTGACTGCTCCTTTTGCTTGGTTATTTTCCACAGAGGCTGAGGGTAGGCTGTGTCCGACGTACACCCGGCTGCCTGAAATAGAATTCACAGCAATGATGTTATCCCTGCCAGGTCCCATTGCCACTGAACAACGGGACTCATTTCCACGAGCCGGAATGAGAACCTTTTGGAGTCAGCTGTGGTTGTCAACCCTGTCTTTTTCCTCTAGGGAGAAATTGTCATTTGAATGAAACCAGGACTCAGAAATGTTGAATAACCATCCTGATGTCATCAAACCAATCAGCCACAGAAGTGGAGACTAATATTGGCACTCAGGCCTGAGCCATAGAAAGTCTCCTTTCCTTCGGATGCATCTTCCTGGGTTGAAGTCCAGCTCCTAGGCTCGCTCATGTGGGCCTGCTCGAGCAGAGCAGGGAGACCCAGAGCCTGGTTCCAGGCAGAGGCTGCCCAGCTCTCAACTGGCCTCCCCGGTAGGGGTGCTGCATCCACCTGGCAGGCTGAGGACAGGCAGAGCCCAGATCACTGGGTCCCCTTGGCACAGACCCAGGGTCTTGGAGTGCTGCAGTTTGCAGCCACCAGCGTGCCTTCCTCCAGGGCCCCGCAGTTGATATCTGAATTGTTCTCTCCATCCTCGGGGAGTCTGGGGAAAGGTGGGAGGGGAAAGAGGAGAGATGTTCAGGGTGCCAGAGCCTCACTTCCCAGCCAGACCCTCCAGCCCGTGTGCCTGTCACCTCCACCAGCCTGCGCAGTGAGCAAGTCACTGCACTGGTCAGCCATGTGACACTGGATGAACCCCAAAACATCCCTGAGCAGCTCACCCTGCATCTGTAAAACAGGGTAGCAACCCTGCTTGGGTGAACGTGCTGGGAGCCCAAATAAGGAGTGGAGTGATAGGAACTAAGCAGGCGCCAGGCCGCGGGCATGGGTGTGGGTTGTTTTTGGAGTGGCACTCCAGGCAGGGGGAGCAGCAAGGAGGCAGAGCATGGGTACAAACAGAGGATCTGAGGAGGAGAAAGCCCGCGGTCACTTACAGCTGGGGCGGCATGGGGGCCCCATCGATCCAGTGCCAGCCCTGGGGTCCTCGCCGGGCCCCCACCCAGGAGTGCTTGGAGACTGGGTATCTGCTCAGAAGGTCCTGAAGGAGAAAAGTAAGCTGGTCACTTCCCTGGACCCTGGTGTGGCTCACCTGGGGGGCTCCCACGGGATCCCAACGGCCAATCCAGAAGGATCCACTCAAGCCAGCGCTTGCAGAACAAAACAACTTCAAAAGCTGGACTGCATGCCTGCTGGGTGCCAGGCGCTGTGCTCAGGGCTGGGGGCCAGAACATGTGAACGCCAAACACCACTAAGCAATGCTCAATGGGTGTTGAGTGGGCAAAGAAACAAGGAAGCTCGGAAAGCGAGGGAGGTGACTGGGTACAGTGGCTCATGCCTGTAATCCCAGCACTTTGGGAGGCCGAGGCTGGCAGATTACCTGAGGTCAGCAGTTTGAGACCATCCTGTCCAACAAGGTGAAACCTTGTCTCTTATAAAATATCTATATATATCTATCTATATATCTATCTGTCTCTCTACATATATATAGACATATCTATGTATTTTTCTATCTATCTATCTATCTATCTATCTATCTATCTATCTATCTATCTATATGTATGTATATATTTAGCCAGGCAGCACCTGTAATCCCAGCTACTTGGGAAGCTGAGGCAGGAGAATCCCTTAAACCTGGGAGGTGAAGGTTGCAGTGAGCTGAGATTGCGCCATGCACTCTAGCCTGGGCGATGAGAGGGAAAACTTCGTCTCAAAAGAATAATAATGCATGCAGACATGCAGGAACAACAAAATTCAAAGTAATGGAGAGCTATTAGAGATCTTTCTTCTTTTAAATATTCGCCCTCAATGTCACATTATTTTTAACAATGAATTAAAACAAAAAAGACGTTATTTTTAACAATGAATTAAAGCAAAAAAGACAATGCTTTAAAATGTATACTTAAGATTTTTTTTTCTTTTTTTTTTTTTTGAGACAGAGTTTCATTCTTGTTGCCCAGGCTGGAGTGCAATGGTGCAATCTCAGCTCACTGCAACCTCAACCTCTCGGGTTCAATTGATTCTCCTGCCTCAGCCTCCCAAATACCTGGGATTACAGGCATGCGCCACCACGCCCAGCTAATTTTGTATTTTTAGTAGAGATGGGGTTTCTCCTTGTTGATCAGGCTGGTCTCAAACTCCCAACTTCAGGTGATCAGCCTGCCTTGGCATCCCAAAGTGCTGGGATTACAGGCGTGAGCCACTGTGCCTGGCTGAGATTTTTTTTTTTTTTTTTGAGATGGAGTCTCACTCTGCCACCAAGGCTGGAGTGCAGTGGCACGATCCCAGCTCACTGCAGCCTCTGCCTCCCAGGTTCAAGTGATTCTCCTGCCTCAGCCTCCTGAGAAGCTGGGATTACAGGCGTGTGCCACCACACCTGGGTAATTTTTGTATTTTTAGTAGAGACAGGTTTTGCCATGTTGGCCCAGGCTGGTCTCAAGCTCCTGGCCTCAAGTCATCTGTCCACCTTAGCCTCCCAAAGTGCTGGAATTAATGGCATAAGCCACTGCACCTGGCCAAGATTTTTTAACTTGGAAAAAAAAAGTTTAAATATTGCAAGTCCCAGGGTGGGGGCGTGGTAGAGGGGGCAGCGATGCCGGCGCAGCCCGTGTCATCAACTCAGTCTCTCTGCAATGGCATTTGGCTCGATGTAGAGCAGCACCACCGCTCCTCCTCCTGCTCAATGGGTGATTTAGCTGAGAAATAAATCCAAGAATATAAAGGGAAAAAAAGGAACTTATCTTAAGATAACATGGTGCTATTTGTGAAGAAAAAATGGAAACTCCCCAGACGCTCGGCAATCGAGAAATAACTAGGTAAATTACAGGATGTCAACATGATGGAAAATTATAGTGCCATTAAAAATGACAAGTATATAGAATAATGTCAGTATGCAGGAAAATGTAAATACGAAGTCATGCCAAATGGAAAAAGAAGACTACACTAGCGAGTACGTATCACTCACGACAATGTCAAGAAGCACATATTCACATTGATGCAGGTTGGGAGTGGAGTTTAAATGAATTTCACATATGCTCAGTTCTTCTTCCCCAAGAAAATGGTTTAAGTCAACAAAGACAAGCCCTGGAATTAGAAAGCAAGCCCTGGAGCGATGATTGTCCTGTTGGTGCCACCTCCTCCATCCCTCAGATGTTAGCTAAAGGTTGCTTTTCTTACAGACACTGGGCTGACCCTCTCCAAGGTGAACTAGGTACTCCTTCCTCCCCTTGGCTTCCATAACCTTCATAGAATAGAGCTGCCTCTTTATTTTTTATTTCATTTTTTTGAGACAGAATCTTGCTCAGCCACCCAGGCTGGCACAATCTCAGCTCACTGCAACCACCATCTTCCGGGTTCAAGCAATTCTCCCATCTCAGCCTCCTGAGTAACTGGGATTACAGGCACTCACCATTGTGCCTGGCTAATTTTTGTATTTGAGTAGAGACGGTATTTCACAATGTTGGCCAGGCTGGTCTTGAACTCCTGACCTCAGGTGATCTGCCGGCCTTGGCCTCACAGAGTATTGGGATTACAGGTGTGAGCCACCGTGCCTGGCCTCTCTTATTTGTATATTTATTTATTTTTGAGATGGAGTTTGGCTCTTGTTGCCCAAGCTGGAGTGCAATTGTGTGATCTTGGCTCACTGCAACCTCTGCCTCCGGGTTCAAGTGATTCTCCTGCCTCGGCCTCCCAAGTAACTGGGATGACAGGCATGTACCACCACACCTGGCTAATTTTGTATTTTTAGTAAAGATGGGGTTTCTCCATGTTGGTCAGGCTGGTCTCGAACTCCCAACATCAGGTGATCTACCCACCTTGTCCTTGCAAAGTACTAGGAATAAAGGCATGAGCTACCGTGCACAGCCTGTCTTTTTTATTTAGGAGACATGGTCTCACTACGTTGCCCAGGCTGGCCTTGAACCCCTGGGCTCAAGTGATGCTCCCACCTCAGCCTCTGAAGGTGGGATTATAGGTGCATGCCTGGCTTATTTTTGTACCTTTATTAGAGACAGGGTTTCACCATGTTGGCCTGACTGGTCTTGAACTCCTGACTTCGTGATCTGCCCGCCTCAGCCTCCCAAAGTGCTGGGATTACAGGTGTGCGCCACCATGCCCAGCCGAGCTTATCTTACTCAATATCACACTATGATAACCCTGTGCACAGTAAGTCAGCTCAGTGAAACTGCCTCTCCACACTCACTGCCAAAAATCAGCAAGAGCCACAGTGAGCCCAGGCCATCAGGCCACTGTGTGTCAAACCCATCTTCTGCTCCTCAAGGCTAGCACCCACCAGTTAACAGCCCAGAGAGAAGCCAGGGACAACTTCCAGGCTGAAGGTTGCCAATCTTACCCTTGTTGAATCCTAAAGACCAGACTGCATAGGAAAATGGAGAGTGGTGGGTGTGCTGAATAGAGAAAGCACACTGGGGCCCAGGGTGGGGCTTGGCGAGGAGCCCTGGAGAGGATGGGAGGAACCCAGGCTGCGCTGAGGTGTGACTCAGAGGGCAGAGTGGCCCAACACCATCCTCCTGGGAGCAGTCGCCTGTTTGGGAAGGCACACCAGGGCTCAGTGCCTCTCCCAGAGCTGAGATGGGGCCGGGCTACCCCGTATGCAAATTCTGGCTCCCTGACTTGTGAGCCACGTGACAAGTTACCCAACCTTTCAGAGCCACAGCGTGGTCCTCTGTAAAATGAGGATGCTTGTGATGAGGCTTGAGATAATAACATATAAAGCCAGGGTCACCTAGACACACTCATCCCAAGTCCTCTCCCCTTTGATGTGTGATGGGGCAAAGCTTGTGCCCCATGCCAAACACACATGAGCTTTGATGCTTCCAGCAACCTCAAGAGGATCCCGCCCTTCTGTCACAACCCCTGGCCTTCTGACTCGTTCTCCCTTTCCCTCTGGGCCTCCCCAGCCCCGCCTAGCCCCAGCCACTCCATTCCGTTCTTTTCCTTGCAGTTGAGACTCCCAGTCTCATTGTTAGCAAAAATGATGGTGTGGGGAAGGCATTGTTCAAAGTTACAAATAAACTCCAGGAACTTCTAAGTAATTTGTGGCTCAAAGGACTGCTCTGTGCAAAAGATCCTGAGCCCTCCTTAAGTTGCGGATTCTCCAGCTCTTCCACTAATAAGAGAAGGAATGTGATCCTGAGCAGAATGGACTGAAATCTCACATTTTACATCTTAAAATTATAGAAAATTATTTGCTATGCCTTCATACATTTCTTTTTTTAAAATTGTGATAAAACATTTATGGCCCTCCTCCTGGCCGCGTCAAAATAAATAAATAAATAAATAAAAAGATTAATGGCCAGGTATGGTAGCTCAGAGCTGTAGTCTTAGCATTTTGGGAGGCTGAGGAGGGCAAATCACTCAAGCTCAGGAGTTTGAGACCAGCCTGAGTAACATAGTGAGAACCTGTCTCTACAAAAATTATGAATATTAGCCGGGTGTGGCACACTCCTGTAGTCCCAGCTACATGAGTACTCAGGAGGCTGAGGCCGAAGGATGGCTTGAGCTCAGGAGGTCAAGGCTGCAGTGAGCCACAATCGGCACCACTGAGCCCCAGCCCGGGTGACAGAGCAAGAACCTGTCTCAAAAAAAAAAAAAAAATTATGACATAAAATTTACCATTTTAACCATAAGTGTACAGTTCAAGAGCATTAAGTATATCCATATTGTTATGAAACCATCATCACCAACCATCTCCTGAATTTTTCGTCTCCTGAAACTGAAGCTATCCTCATTAAACAACTACTCACCCCTCACTGCCCCAGCAACCACCATTCTACTAGCTGCATACATGTCTGTTTTAATATTAAAATGTTTCAAATTACTTTTTTTGTTTTTTTTTGAGACAGTGTTTCACTCTTCTTGCCCAGGCTGGAGTGTAATGGCGCAATCTCGGCTCACTGTAACCTCTGCCTCCCTGGTTCAAGCCATTCTCCTGCCTCCGAGTAGCTGGGATTACAGGCATGCACACCATGCCCAACTAATTTTATATTTTCAGTAGGGACGGGATTTCTCCACGTTGGCCAG